GGGGGGGGAGGTTCCTAAAAAAGGAAGTACACTCCTTATGTTCTTCCCACATGCGAGACTTTTCCTGTCCTCGCGCATACTCAAAAAAAACGGAGGGGGACACCTGCTGTAGGTCACATGGAGGGAGTCACGCAAGGGGAACTTTCTCATTTATTTTTTTTTCTATTTAACGGAAAGGAACACACCAAGGGGATAACACAGATCCTATCGGGTGAAAAGAAACTTAAATGAATACTTCTGTTGCGGCATGTCACTGCGGAAGAGGCTACTTCTTATACATTGTGTGAGTCCCTCCTCTCTGAAGTGCCTCCTAACGGTTTACCACCCTCAGGGGGGGGAGAGGCGAATCGTCAAAGGGCACATAACAGCTGGCATGCTATCCACAGTGTGAGACCATTGTTTGACACGAGCTCAATGGGAATGTTTCGAATGGGACAGACTTCTTTCTGCACGAAGCAAATGTGCCAACTGGGGGGAGGATGCAGATTCAACCACGGTCGCTAGGACAGCGGACGAGGCGCCCGTCCTGCACAGTTCGCCGCCTCGCTGGCATCGCTCGCAACGTCCACATCGTCCACTTGGCTTGCTTTCCCTTTTTTCTGATGAAACTTCCCAAATGGGAAAGAAAAAGAAAAAAAAAGAAGCAAAATTGGCAAACAAACGAATAAAAAGGTAATGTTATTTTTACACCCAAGGGAACCTCCCCTGCCGAGGCCGCACCCATTAGAGCTCACATGTTTGGCTGCCCTTCGGAAAAAAAAAAAAAAAAAAAAAAAAAAACATTCTTTATTCTTCTTTATTTTATTTTATTTTTTTCTGCGTATCTCCCCACGCAGGTAATGCCGCACTGCATACACGGATGCGTTTCTCATAAAAATCGACTTCCCTCCGTGTGGCCACTTGGCAACTTGCTCGCATCCCGCGTTAGGATGACATTTCACCGCTAACGGATAAAGCGGCTTTCATCGTTTATTGTTTATCGCTTATCCAGATAGTTTCATGTCCCCCTCGTCCGCCCTGCATATGTTGGGTTAGCACGCCGCGCAGGGCAGCGCTTCTTCCCCTTACGGTTTAGTGGGCACGCTCGCCGCATCATCAGGCATCCACTTGGGCTTGCCGTTCTTCTTCTTCCTCCTCGGCTTCCCCTTCTGTTTTCTTTTTTTCCCCCTTGGGAGGCTTAACCAAACCTATTGGCGCGAAGATGGCACTGGTAAGCTTCGCCAAAGGAAGAGTAACGATTTACTCCGTGGAGTGAGACGTCGCCACGGGGATGGAGTGATCAAGGCGTGGTTCGAAAAATCGTCGCGCTGTGCCTCCCCAGTGATTGTTTCTCCAGTCTGATGAATGCCTCTCCAGTGTGAATGAACACTTCTCCACCCTCATGAACGCTTCTCCAATCTCATGAACGCTTCTCCAATCTCATGAACGCTTCTCCAATCTCATGAACGCTTCTCCAATCTCATGAACGCTTCTCCAATCACATGAATGCTTCTCCAATCTCATGAACGCTTCTCCAATCTCATGAACGCTTCTCCAATCTCATGAATGCTTCTCCCTGTCTCGCTTCCCCCCTCCGGCAGGACGACACCGAGGCGCAGAAGCAAATCCAGCAGATGGTGAACTTCATCCTTAACGAGGCCAAGGACAAGGCACACGAAATCGAGGCCAAGGCGTTGGAAGATTTCAACATAGAGAAGCTTCGCATTGTCCAAAAAATGAAAGAAAAAATTCGACTGGAATTCCAGAAGAAATCCAAACAAATGGAAATTAAAAGATCGATCAGTCGCTCCTCGGCTATAAACAAAGCTCGTTTAAAAAAAATGTGTGCGAAAGATCAAGTCTTTAAGGAGATTTATAAAATAAGCAGCGAACGACTGGGAGAATTGTACAAGGATAGGGACAAATACAGAAATCTGATTATCGACCTGATTGTACAGTCACTGTTCTACATGCAGGAGCCCCATGTCATCGTCCGATGCAGAGATGTCGATAAATCCATCGTAGAAAACTGCCTCAATGATGCTATACAAAAGTACAACGACAAATTGAAGAAGCAGTTTAACGTTACTAAGAGTGTTAAAATTGAAATCGACAAGAGTGGCAACTATTTGCCTCCCCCTCCCTCTAGTGAGAATGAGGGGAAGTCTTGCCTTGGAGGAATCATCCTCACCACTCCTAATAGGAAAATAAATTGCGATAACACTTTGGACGTTCGCCTCAAACTCGCCATCGAGTACTGCACGCCGGAAATTAAACGCATGTTTTTTGAGACGCTCTGACAGCGCGGAGAAGGGCATCCCGGAGGAGGGCATCCCAACGCTGTCCCCCTCTTTCCCACCAGAATGGGGACGATTTTTCCCCTTTGGTTATCGCTGCTTTCTTTTTCCCTTTTTTTTGCCTCTTTTTCGCCTCCCCCTTTTTTTTAAACGTTACTTAAGACAGCCCCATTTTGATCAAATATGCGCACTGCAGTTGTGTAGGAGAAAAGAAAAAAAAAAAAAAAAAGGAAGAAGGATTCCCCTCCTCAAGTGCGGGGGAGGAGTGACTCTCCAGATGTGCCCCCTTATGCGTCTCAATCATCACATGTGGGTAGTTAGAATGATTGGATGCCCTGTGGGCAGCTCCCCACGTATAGGGGTGAATCCACCACGAAAAAGTTCACAGACAAGTTGCAGCTATGCTTCTTATACGTTGCAGCCATGCTACTTCTACCCTGTCATCACTCTTCCACACTGGGGCCCCTCCCCCCCTAAAACTGACCCTTCGAAATTTTGGAGTACCGCTTCTTCCGCAGCAGACGCTCGTCTCGCTTCTGAATGTAGTCCATGCGCAGCTGGCGCTCCGACTTGCGGTTGTCCACACGCCCCGACTCCTCTAAGTTCCTCCTAAACTGCTCGGCCGCCAGCTTCGCCTGAAGAACTCCAAAGGCACACCGAAAGCGACGAATCCGATGCACCCCATCCTCAACCCACTGGACCATCCACACGTTCAACCGCTGGTAATACGAAACACCCTTCACCTTCGACACAAACCAGGGGATCTCCTCATACACAACATTATACTTTCGCTTCTTCCAGTACTTCCAGTGGGGCAATAAGTTCCAGGGGTAATCACTCCCCAAGTGTTCACCAGCCCTGAGTGATTCGATCCACTTGGTCCGATAGTAATTAGCCGGCAGGTATTGCTGCAATCCATCCGTCTTGGCCTCAAAGCAGTCCGATGGGGAAAGGAATTCCGGTGGGGTCATGTGTGGGTGGATAATCTCCTTAGTCTTCGGCTTGTATGGATGTTTCGACAGCCGCGCTACTGACAGGGTACACACATTCCTGTTGCCGCAGAGCCGTCCCCCCAGTTTGAAGCCATCTGCCCGTGTTAGGAGCTGCCAAGCAAAGTCACCCAGTTTGATCATATTTTTTTGGTGGAGCATTCATTTCAGGCGTTTAAAATAAATGAGGAAATTACTTCTCCCGCATCGCTCAGCGTCATCTGCAGTGGGCACTTGTTCTTTTAACATGTTTTTTTGTCCACGTTCTCTTCCACGCGAAGTGAATCCTCCTTGGAAAGTGAGTCCTCTTTGCGAAATGACTCCTACCTCCTCGCTTCCTCTGGATGCACAGAGGGGGCATTTTCCTTCACGGGTTGCTCCCCGTTTGTGTTACTTTGTACGCAAGAAAAAAAAAAAAAAAGAGAAAAAAAAATATGAACAGTTCAGGCGATTTTGCCACCTTGTCATAAGCCTCTTGCCCCATATTGTATTTTTCCTTCTTTCGGCACTCCTTCACGGCTTCACAAATGGAGATGCCCGTTTTGTACACCTCGATCGGCAGGATGCATGAGTTAAATGAACGCTTCCTTCTTCCTAAAACGAGAGGAACCACTCATTTGCGAGACCAACATAGTGGGAAGCAACACCGCATCACCACGCAGGCCAATTCCTTAAGTGCCCTTTGGATGCGGCACCGTCGCCATGGGTGGACACCCTTCTGGGGATAAAAAAAAGAAAAAAAAAAGAAGACAAATCCAAGTGGGATTGCCATGCTGGATGTGAAATCCACCCGAGTGACTGCGGTCATGGTCGCGCGTCTAATGTAAAGAATATCTTCACCGTTAACCGGCAGCTGACGGGGAAAAAATGCTCACTGACGTCTGCACTATAAATCCTTATGAATCCCTTTGCTGGGGTTGCGTTGTTCCCCATCTTGTTAATAAAAAAGAAGAAAAAAAAAAAAAACTATTCTTAAGTGATTCCTTCACAGGGAAAGGGGACACCCTATCTCTACACATAAATAGTTACATCACATGGATGGGTAAAAATAAAAAAAAAGAAAAAAGGAGCGTTCAAATGGGGGTTCGAAAATGAAGGTATTAACAGGCTGCACGAAGTTAATGGTCTCCGTGCTGCTCTGCTCATATCGAAATGGGAAAAAGTAAAAAATAGGGGTGGGGGAGGCGTCCCTTCGACAGCCCTCCTCAGAACGGTGCACAAAACAAAGGTACACCATGTCAAACGGCATAGTAAGTTACACGAAAAGGAGTACACTCACTTTTGGGTGATGCCTCTCTAGTGGGTCCCTGCCAACAGTGAGGAGGATATCACGACAAGGTGGAGGCTTCTCCACCGTTCGGTTGGAATCTCTTCCAAAGGTGCCCTACTTAGGTGCCCCACTTAGATGCCCTTCCGAGGTGTCCTTAGCTTGTTTAAATATTCGGAATAATTGGGGTGACCAATGCTAAACATGTTATTGGCGTATTTGAATTTCAGCTTCTGCACCAGAAGGTTCACTTTATTGTCGTGTGCAAGAAGGGCCAGGTACGCAACGAAGAAAGTTAAGTAAAGAATGGACGTGCCGAACTCATTTTCGAAGATTTTCTGAGTTAAAAAATCGATCGTCTTTCCCGCCATGAATATGTACTCTGTCTTGGGGTTGTTTTCTTCCTCTTTGTGTTTTGCTTCAAACATGATGGGGGATAGGAGTAACATCGTCCCTCCTGCGGTTGCCGCTGCCTTGGCTTTGCCGTTGCTCCTTGCGCTTTGGGTCATCTGCCTCGTCTGCATGGATTTATTTGCCTGTATGGATTTCCCCTCCAGCATTGACTTGCTCACCTGCACTGGTTGCCCCCTCATGCTCGTCGCGCTATTCCTCACCCAATTGGTGAAGAGAGCCCGCATGCGCGACAGCCCGTTTGGCATTCTGTGCCGATGTAAATGAGCAAATGGGCAAGTGAGCTCCCACGTTCATGCGCCTGTTCACTGATGCAGTGCGGGTTTCTCTCTGAGGAAGGAATGAAGTGGTGCCTGTTTCTGCTCCCCTTCAATATGATGTGAGTTCCCCTTTGAAGTACTATATATAGATGTCTGTGTGGGGGGGGGGGCGGGGATTTGGGAGGTACGAACGTGGTTTTAATATGACTGCGCAAAAGTGCCTCGTTAAATGTCCTCTTCTACTCAGAGAATGAAACACCTTCGTCGATTGCTCGGAGGAAGGAAAAAAAAAATCTCCCAAAATGGGAATAGCAACTCTGACGGTGAGATGCTTAGGATACGTATCATGCGTGCGGTGTATGTGATACGTGTTGGTGATGATTCATTGGCATATGTCGTCACCACTTCTGATGGGGTGGGCCGCAAATACTTCGCCTCCGAAGCAAAAGTTACTTGTGCTCACACGCTCTGACTCCGCCGCGCGATTTAGAGGTGGGCAGTCGGAAAAGGGACTAACGCGGCGTACAACCAGCTGGAGAAAAGTAGAACGATGGCATGTCAAGAAGAGTACCCCTGGAGCTGAGAATTTTTTTTTTTTTTTTTTTTTCCTTTTCCGTTGCCTTTTTCGCTGCACATTAACCTGAGCTGATGAAACACTTCCTTTTCCGCTTCATCCGCATGTTCCTCTTTATGTGTGTTTTTTTTTTTTTTTTTTTTTTCTTTTCCCTTTTGGGAGTGCCGAACCGAAGCGGTGCCTCTCCATTTAGAGGATCTTCCCCCCTTTGCAGCTGAGCCATACATTCCCCTCTGCTACCACGTTCAGTCTTCCAGAGATACCCCACCTGGGAAAACTGTGCAATCGAAGGTAGACCTTTCCCCACCTGCGACGAGCTTGAGATAGGAAGGGGTATACAGGGAAGGAACGTCCAACGGGTGAAGCGGGTCAATCCCGGTCAGCGCAACGAAAAGAAAGGAAAATAACAGAAGTGAAGGGACCGAAGGTGCTCCACCCCAGCTAGGCCGCTTCTTCCTCTTCGCTCCTTCGCCACTTCACCGCACCATGCAGTACAACCTGATCGGGAGCAGAATCAACAACCACTACGTGGTGGACCCCTACGTGAGCATGCTCTACTTAAAAAGGGCATACAAATTTCTCAAGCTGCTAAAGGAGAACGGCGGGGAGGTTATCATCGTGGGCAACAAACACAGAGAAGTCAAATTAGAACACTACTTTAGTAACATTCAGCGGAAGGAGACCTGCGATTTGAATACTATAACAAACGTTACGAAGAGGTTCGACCTTCTGATTTGTACCGACCTGCCCTTGTTCTATCCCTACATCAAGAACGTCCTCATCCCGAAGATGTTGGTTGCAGACGGGACTACCTTCGTCAAGTATAGAACATTTTTGCATGCCTTCGATTACTTCATTCCACTGACGAGTGAGAAGCTGGATCGGCACCTGCACTATGTCCTGGCGCGCAGGTACCTCTCATGAGGCTACAGCGGTCACAGATGGCAGGGGAAGAAACACTTCTCTCTATGCGCAGCTGCGCTGAGCAATCACCCCTTACAAACAGGAAGGAGAGCATCCCCCCGGGAGGGGGCCACAGTTAGGCTGTTTTGATAAGCGGCAAAAATGGGGAAGTGGACCAAAGGGAAACGGTGGGTCAGGAGGAGAGGTAAACCCAGAAGAGAGAAGGCTAGGTGAACAAAAAAAAGGGGGTGACGAGCCCACCACACGCGCGAGGAAGATGCAAAGAAGAAGCATCTGAGCCGCATTCCTCTCACCGCCTCCTCTCACGCATCATATAAAATCGTCCATGTTGAGCACCGACTTGACCAGGGCCCAGCACTTGGGCTGGTTGCAGATGAGCTCCTGTGAGAGCTTCGTCTGGCCCGTCTCCTTATACTCCTGAGACATATTTAGAAGGAACTTCCGCGATATATTCACAGCCGTGCTAACGGTGAGATTCACATTGGACATATCCATACATTTGATGATCCAAGGAGGGAGCTTGCTCTTCTTGTCATTACGCGCGTATCGAATGTCCGCAAAAATCATAATCCCATAGTCCTTCTTGTTTCGTATAATACGCCCGACACATTGGGAAGCCTGACGCATCGCATCGAAGGTCAGAAATTCATTCTCTTGTATGTTGTATGTCTCTTTTAGGAAGTCTAGTCTCGATTTGAGGATCCTCGATAGGGTATACTGATAGGGGATACCAAAAAGGATCACACACTTGCCATAGTGTTTGTCGAAGTCAATCCCTTCTGCTATTTTCCCACGACAGATTGAGAGGAAGACAGCCCCTTTCCCCAAATCACATGCTCTCTTAAAATTGTGCAGGGCAATTGTTGTCGAGACGATATCCTTCGTCTCAATAAAGATTAACTTATAATCGAGGATATTTGTGATGATTCCGAGTTCGTACCAAGAGGAGATAACCTCCTCCATGTAGATGTAAGAAGGGAAGTAAGCAACGATCCCATCTGGAATGGTTTTGCACATCTCTACGAGCAGCATGCCGTAGTTCTTTATCACCGTTATGTCACTTCGGAGAGAAAACTGAGAGGATAAAGGGACCAGATCCGAACTTTTGGTGACTATCAGCGGGCAGACACAATTTCTATCGAAGGACATCGGGAAGGACGCTGTCAATACCGTCTTAAAGTTTAGCAGCTTAGGGTATAACTCCAACGGGGTGATTGTCCCACTGGTAAGAACAACCGATTTGTATTTCTTAATAACTGACTTCATTGCTATGGAGGAGTCCAGACACGCGAACTGAATGACTGGGTCATAAATCCCGGTGGCTTCCGGATAAGGCTCACATATGATGATAAATCCCTGGAAATAGCTCCCCAGAAGGGTGCAAAAATTGCACACGATGTTTAATGCCGAGTAGTCTTCCACATTCACTATCTGCAGCGCATTCAAAATGGATTTCAGCCGATCAAAGCAGAACTTAAAGAAAGACGTGTCCAGTTTGGTCTCCCTTTCACATTTATACAGAAAGGACAGTGGACCTTCCGATGTTATCTCGTAGATATTGACATACTTCTTCAGATACATTACGACTATTCTCATCAGATTTAGGAAGTGCTCCGATTTTCGGATGTTTCCTGGAATCACGACATTTTTTATAATGTCTTCCATTAGCAAGGGGCTGTAATGGAGATCCGTTGGGTCGTCTCCTCCGCTATTACCATCAGGGAGGGAGTTCTTGCTCCCCTCGGGAAAGAGACCACTACTAACAGCAGTCTGGTCCTTTCTTCCCAATGGGATTAGCTGCCCAATTGACTGGCCCAGTAACTTCTCCAACCCCTCCAGTAGACCCCCTTCCCCCCCTCCCTTCGCCTGCTTCTCTTCCCCCAAAGACGCATCGTCTTCCACTTCAGTCCGATTCGCCCCCCCGGGGAAAATCAAATTTAGGTCTTCATCAAAGTATACCTCTCCCGCTTTACTCTCTTCGGTCTTCCTCCTCTTGGAAGTCTCCCCTCCTCGGCTCGCGTCGCCCAGCACGCCGTTGCTTCGTCTCGAGGGCAGCTCTATCCCGGCGTTTTCAGCGGCGTGTTCAGCGGCGTTTGCAGCGTCTGTGGCACCCTCTGCAACGGCTTCCATGGAAGCATCTTTCTTGACTTCTCCCCCCCGCTGCGCCCGAAGCCGCTGCAAAATGCGGCTGCAATCCTCCCGCAGCTTCTCCTCGTTCACAACTTTAGACGTCTCGATCTTGCTGAGAAGTTTTTTAATATTCGCAGTCGCTTTGTTCAGGATGTTCCGATCGATGTTCACACTGAGTGCCTCCAGACAGACACTGTCAATATTGTGCGCCTCATCAAACACGATGATGTCGTTTTTTTGCAGATTCACCCGGTTGTTTACGTCCCTTCCAATATACAGCGATTTCGACACCTTCGGGTCAATTACGTACTGGTAATTTAAGACAATCACTTTGGCCACCTCGATAATCTTCTTCGCACAAAAGTAAGGACAGATCGGCACGTTCGCATTCTCCGCATTCTTGTACCCCTTACACATCACCTTCAAATCTTCAATCGTGTAGACACCTGGCTGAATCATTTCTAAGAGAAACTCCTTCTTGTAGTTCTCATAGTAACCACATAACCCTATGTCATCGTATTCCTTCAGAGTGTTCCTCGTGTTGTAGATGTCGAAATAATCCTCTACGTCTATGTGTTGTCTATTTTTCATGATAAAATCTGAGATTCTTTCCGAGTGTGCGCTCCCCAATTTGTTTATCTTCTGGTTGATGTACTTCTTCTCCCGGACGAAGGTCGCCGTGAGTTTGCGGCACTCCTCGTCGATCTTCTCCCGCTCGTGCTTCCGCAGCACCCGTTCGTTCACGCACATGCACCTCCGCGCGCTGATTCCGATGGCTAGGATATCCCCGCTACAGCCCCCATTGCCGCGATTATCCGCGTTAGCGGCGGTTTGGCCCCCCGTTTGATCCTCCCCCCGTTCGTTTTCCCGTTGCCCCGCCTCATCCTCGGCTCGACCCACCTTCTCCGCACCGCTTCCCACTCCGCTTCCTCCCTCCCCGCGCCGGCGCACCGTGTCCACTCGGTACTGGATGACCTTCTTCAGCTCGATCAGCGACTTCTCCATCTCGGCCACCGTCCGCGTGCAAAAAATGAACTTACCCTCGTCATTCTTCCCATACTGATAGGACGTTATCAGGGAGAAAATCGCCACCGTCTTCCCCGTGCCTGTTGGCATCTCCAGCACGCAGTGCCCCTCGCTGTCCAGCGTCTTCTTCAAGTAGCGCATGTAAGCATACTGCTCCGGGTATATGTAGTCGTAGGGGAAGAATACCTCCAGGTCGTCCAGCTGGAATACCACCATTCTTCCGCTCAGGGGGGGGGGGGAGAATGGACGTTTCAGTCGGTCCGCTCCACTTCCAGGCAGCACGGAAGCTAGCAGTGTTGACTTATGTCGGTTTTTATTCGTCTGATTCGTTTGATCCGTTTGGCTTCTTCGCCCTTCTCGCCTTCTTCAATTCCTCCACCTGAGGGGTCTCTGCGCCCCTGCCGGCAGAAGCAGTCCTCACGCCGAACGGTTCCCAAAAAGGGCCGCTTTCACCTGCACAACGGGGTAAACACAAGTGGGAAGAGCAAATGGAAAAAAAAAAAAAAAAAAGAAAGAAAACATATCACCCCGCAGCTGCTACTCCATTTTGGGATCCTCCTTTACGAGGACGAAGCGACCACCATGGATCGGCCAATCTTCCTGCGGGGAGGCAACACGGCGTGGCATGGAAATGGCGCGATTGGCCGTATCTAACCTTTCAGATGACCCACTGGATCGACAGGGCAGACCCACACGTTGTGCCAATCGTTTGAAGTAGAACATAGAACCAGGGAAGCGACAAGATGAGGCTGGTCTACACGATCACCACAAGGGAGGTTCGTGAAAAAAAATAAACAGCTTCGATCACTCGGACCACTGGACCACGGTACCACTCGCACCATTGGATCACTTGCACCACTGCATAACATTCGCAACTGCACCACCCCAACACGTAGACCCCAATGTGATACCCACTTCAGCGACGACTCTCTCCAGTGGGCTCAAACATCTGAGGAGATAATCATCATCTTTAACCCTCCTTCCTGAAAATTCTCACTTATTTGCCGCACCTGTTAAGGTGAAAGAAGGAAAAACCAACCTGTCACCATCGTTATCAGCGGCACTAGGTGGAAGGATCGTTCAGTGTCCCCTTTTTCTTGTTTCCCCTCCCACCACCTCGTGGTGACCGCCCGGTGGGTATAGGGGCCTCTTCCATCGCCATATACGATGAGTTCGAATGCGCTGTGGAGGACAGTGGAGTGGCCTCGGGGAGTTGGCCCATCGGGTTGAACCAGAGCCACGCGGAAGTCACGCGGAAGTGAGCGGCAATCACACTGCCGCTACGCCGCTTCTACGCCGTTGCTACCTCGCTGCCACCCCGCTGCTATCCCTCTCAACATGCTTAGGAGGCTGGCGCTGGCCGCCGCGACGCTCATGCAAGTCCGCTCGCTGCGCACAGGGGGACAGGACAGAATAAACTACCCCCCCTGGCCCTTCCTGACCACCCCTTGGGCGAAGAACTCCGCACTCCACCACCGACGCTACTCGAGAAACAGAAGGAGCAGAAGCATAATCCTCAAAGCCGTAAGAGGCATCAGAACCTTCAACCCTAGCGAGTATGCCAAAAGAGAGTACCTATTTAAAACATGGAGAGAACTAGCCAAAGCCTTTTCCTACAGCTTTTACGACTTGCCCGTGCTGGAGGATTACTATATTTTTCAGAAGAGCAAAATAAATGAGGCGTACGACTTCGTTAAGAATAAGCGTCACTTGATTTTGCGGCCGGAAATCACTCCCCAGTTGGTAAACCACCTCTTCGTGCGCGAGGAGAGGGCACGCCGGGGGGCGAGCCACGAGGGGGGTGAACAGGGTAAAACGGCTGGACAGAGGGGCAACCTGGAAGAGCAGCACCGGTCTCCACCCCACAGTGCAGTAGCAACGGAGCGATTACGCGGCTCACCCCGTGCGCGCGTCAAGCCGTACCGACTGCACAACCTGCGCAAGGTACACAAAATGAGCACCATCGGTCAGTGCTTCCGCTACGAAAAGACAACCAGATGCAGGAAGAGAGAACACTACCAGTGGAATATGGATATCATCGGCACGGACCTGATAGATTCAGATGTCGAAATTTTAACCATCTTGATCTCCTTCTTCCGCCGAGTCCACCTCCTCCCCACCGACGTAGTGATTAAAATAAATGACAAGCGAATTCTTGTCCATATGATAAACAGAATGTTCAGGTCATCCTTAAAAGACTTTTCACACCCCTACATTCAACATCATGTCATCCAAAATATCCTACACACCTTAGACAAGTATAAAAAAATATCCAGTGGCACTTTTAAGTTCTTGCTTCAGAGGAAGATGCCCTACTTGCACCGACATGAAGTGATCCATTTTTTTAATGTCATTGGAAAAATCCAGAGTCTAACTGACCTGGCAATCTTTTTTACTTCCCCAGAGCAGACCATTTTTTCCGATTTGCACACTGTGCTCAGCTATTTTGGGGAGATGAATTTAAACAGTTACTTCGAGATCGACTTAACTGTCGTTAGGGGGATGGAATACTACACGAACATAATCTTTGAGGCTTTTTACAGGCATGAAAGGTATAGAGCAATCTGTGGGGGGGGGAGATATAGTTATGCTCTTAATACCGGCCAGCGTGTTTGTGCCGTGGGTTTTGGCATGGGGGACGTCGTCATCACGGAGATTCTTTTCAAGAGCCAAGCGCGTCACGGGACAAGCGCCGCGGGAGACTTAGCCGACGAGATCTCCAAAAACGTCGATGTGGTTAGCTTCTTTCCCCCGTTGGACCAGCAGGGGGGGCGTCACGTTGACCATCAGGCGGAGCGTCAAGCGGAGCGACGTGCAGAGCAGCGTACAGAGCAGCGCACAGATTGCTATCCACCGCAGAAACATATTGGCCACCACCCCCGCAGCCTCATACAGAGGGAACACTTCCACATAGTGGACACCCTGCGCAGAAACGGTGTGCGCGTGTACTCCCTCCTCCATCGCGGCAGCAACAGCAGCCTTTCGAAGGCTTTGAAGAAGGCCAACTCCCTGCGCGCAAATTTTTTTTTCTTCTTCGATGAGCACATTGGAGTGTTCTTCCTGAAGGATTTGAGAACGGGGGGGCAGCGCGCGGTCACGTCGGTGGACGTCCTGTCGGTCTACTCTTCCGGGTGTACCGCTGCCGCCCCAGTAGTTGCCCCCGAGGGGATGCGCGAAGATGCGCAGCGGAGCGTCGCCCCCAATGGGGGAAAGTAATTTCGCCATTTGGTCATTTCGACATTCCGCCATTTTCCCATTTCGCCATTTCACACGGTGGTACGTCAGGTGCTCGGCCACCCATTCGTTCGACCGTCCGTCTGTTTGTCTGTTTGTTTGTTTTATTTTTTCTTTTTTCCCGTCGTCCGCAGTGCACCCCTGTGCTAGCCTTTTTTTCGTTGTTTCAAATTTCCCCCGGGAGGTTATAACTGGGCATACCAAACGCCCTCAACAATGATTCGTTCTCTTTCACCGAAATGTCGTTTTGAGGGGGTATACACCTACCCTTTGTGGTGATTTACGAGCTAAGCGGAAGGGGCACAACAGCCCCAACTTCGCTGCACAGTGTAGGTAGCCTTTTTTTTCTCCCTTGCATGGTCAGGCGTTTTTCTCCTTTTTTTTCCTTTTTTTTTCTTTTTTTTTTCATTTCCCCATTTTGCCTGACCCGTTCAGGCGGAATCAGTCAAGTGGCATATTTTGAAAAAGCGAAAATGAGCTGATTGTCCCCATTTGGCGAAGCATCGATGAGCAAAACGTTCACCATCAGTCATAGTTTTCTTCTTTATCTTTTTTTGTTCCTCCATTTTCCTCTAACATGGGGGACCTATGAATGGCACATTATGGGAACCCCCCCCTTCAAGGTCGACAAATCAGATGATGCGATGTACGGGGTTGATGGGGAAGACAACATTTCGAATAATCCAATATGAACGGGCTTCTCCGGCAGCGAGGCGCACATATATGTAGGACTCCACCGTGTGGCATCTTACGGCGCAAGAAAAAAGGAGGCCAATTCTTTGTCCCACTCCACTCTTCATCCTGCCGCTAACCAGTGAAGTAAATTTTGTCCCCTTTACAAGGGAGACACTCTGGAGAGAGAGGCATATTTCTCACCCCTTACGAACTCCACATCGGTAGCCCAATGGAGGACAGTGACGATGAAGATAACGTTCAGGTAGGCGTCTCTTCCCCCGCCGCGCAGACGCATACACAGAGGCAGACATATACACAGATGCATACTCACATGCATACTGACGTTACCGTCACTGCCACCCCCCTAGGTCATCATCTTTGGAAATTCAACGGAGGCTAATTTTGACGACTTCTACAGAGAACAGGACCCAACAAAGGATGAACAGGGCGGTAAGCGTGGGGCTGTGGGAGTTGCTACCCGTGAGGAATGCACCCTCGCAAGTGATCGCATGCGTCCCCTTCTTCTGTCACTTCTTCCTTTCCCAGTTTCGTCCCCGTTTCACCCTAATTTTATTCCGCTTCTCTGTGTCTCCTTCCTCTCGCAGGGGATGGCAGGGGGGACCCGCCCGACGGCGCCTTTCCCACGGGCGAAAACGAAGTAAGATAAATGAAGCGAAGCAAAGCGGGGAATAAAGCTATGATGTCCTCATGCAAGAGGTGTCCCAAGCCGCCAAGAAGACACCACCTGCAGTTACTGCTATCCCTCCGTGGTAATCACCACTTCGAGTAACTTTCCCCTTCCCTACAGGAAACATCGCGCGACGTAGACCTCGAGACGCAGGTGCAGAGAGCCACGCGGGAAAACAGAGTTTTCCTCAAGTACGACTACACTCGAGAGAAGCCCTGGGCGCACCACGCAGATAAGAGCATGTGGTTTAATTACAACTTCGATGAGCACTCCTTTAAGGAGTGGGTCCAGAAACATATCGACAGGCGGATCGAGAAGCAACAGAACTATCAAATTGAAAATGCCGACAATATATATGAGGACAAGTTCAGGGCTGTTGTTAGGACCCCCCGAAGCTTTGAAGACACAGATCGCAGGGGGTACAGCGACCATCACGAACTGAACTACGATGATGATGTGTTGCGGCGTAACCAGAAGGGAGCAAACAGCAGCACAGCGATGAAAGGAAGTAACTCCAAGAAGGGGGCCTTAAGTAATGACAACACCGCGGGGACAGATAACAACAGTCTGTTTCAACCCCACGAGGATAGCAGCTTTGGTTTTCAGCCCCAGAGCGAAGAAGACAACTACATGGATGGTCGAAGGGGGAAGATGCCCCCCGAGAAAGCATCGAATAGGACGGGGGAGATGGATCAAAATGGAAGGACACAAGGGGAGGGAGGTCACTCCGTTCAGGGGGGGGACCTCACGCAGTTTCAAAATTTAGTTAATTTCTTTAAGGTGAATCGGGAGGTATAGCAGCTGGGAGAGGAAGGAGCGGAGGAGGACACACGGGGAGGACACACGAGAAGGAAAAAATAAAAGAAAGCGGATGATCGGGCACGTACTGATAAGATATGGTTAGACGTAAACAGGAGAAGTTGCCCGGACGGGACGTCTGCACGGGACGTCGCGGTGTTCCCGCCTTGCCGCCCTGCCGATTTGCCGCCTTCCAGCTACCCCTCGCAGGAGAGCCCCTCGTACGCGCTGATGACCTGATCGATCGCCATCAGCGAGCTCTGTACGTGGTCATGCGACACGCCATATCTGTTGTATTGGTACATGTACGCATTGGTGGCGTACAGCATCTGCGCACTCTGCAGAATCTTCTTCAGCGTTGGTATCGGGGTCAAGCAGTTCGATATCATCGCCAGGCTGTTATAGGTGAAGTCCCTGCTCTCGTCAATGTAGACTTCCATCGGGCTGAGAGACTTCTGATTGTACAGCACGTGACTCTTAAACAAATCGAAGTTAATATTTTCTTGCAGCTCTCCACGCAGAATCATTTTGGAGCCAAACACTACATTGTTGTGTCGGAAGTGGGTTCCAGCTAATGGTCCTTCTCGAGGCCCGTTCCCCTGGTGCATACGACCAGGGGGGGCTCCACGTGTGGATTCGTGGGGAAGGCGAGCTGCTTGAGTCCGCGCCGAGTAACTCTTCGGGCCCCGACGGAGAAGGACGCAGTTCTGCTGGACGCTGACGTATGACTTGCTGAGGGATTCCCGGAGGTGCAGCGGGATGTGCACGTGCTTCAGGAAGGCGCTACTCCTCTGCAGATCCCTGGAGGACAGTCGGACGAAGTACGGGTCGACGGTGGAGTTCTCTGCGGGCAGGTAGCGCCCACCACCGCCTCCTCCACCAACACCACCGGTACTACCCCCCCCGTGGGGCGCGTCATAGTCCAGGATGCGTCCATTTATAACCATCTTGTGCATGCGTTTGAGAAGCATACTGAACGTGTTTTGCTCAAACTTCATATTTTCCTCGAAGACTTGTGGGAGATATCGAGTGGTAAGGAGCTTATAACTGGGGTGACTGCAAAGGTCAGTCAGGATGGAGTCAATAGCATTGGTGTACTTTGGCCCCCCACGAGCACCTCTGACATTGGAAAAATCCAGAGGCAACCCAAGGGTGTACGTCAGGAAGAGACTTATGTGTCGGTTTATTTCCTCTGTGTTAATATTTTCATTGTTCATCCTCTTGCACATTAACTCAAATTTGTCATTCTCTAGAAGGACGATGCCATCAGACGAGTCGTACAGGGATGATAAGCAGAGCACTGAATTTAGGCTCTGCACACTGATTTCCCCAAACATGTAGGGTAAGACACACACGTTCAGCAGATTGACTGAGGAATATTCGTCCTTTAGCAGATATGAGAGGTAGGAACTGATTCCACTTCCACTTCCTCCCGAAAGACTATGAAATAGGATAATGTTGTCCACCCCTTCTCTGCTGTCGTTACTTTCCATTACCTTTTGTATCAAATTGAGGAAATCCTCGCATATGTTTTTTGCATGAACATTAAATCCGTAGGACCAATTATTACCTGACCCGTTCAGACCGTAAATGAAGTTCCTTTTGTTGTACTTCCACGTGTTTATTGGGTACTCCCTCCTGCTGTTTTTCTCCTTCCTTTGAGGCTTCTCGTGCGAGGGGGACGAGACGGCTTCTTCTTCCTCCTCTTCCCTGTCGTCCCCCCTGGAGAATACCTTCATCAAGGTGTTTGAAGGCTCGTAGTATTCCTCCATTCCGCACACATACTTATGATGTGCTTCTGAATCGGCGGTACTAGCACGCGGCTGCTTCTTATTCTTCGACTTGTTCACATTCGTACTGTCTAGGGGGACTCTCCTCTCCTCGGCTTCTGTCTGGTACAGGCACTTTTCAATAACCTTCGGCTCCATGTCGATGAGGATAGACCTTGCTATGTGATTATTCAAACACATCACCTCTTTGCTTTCGCTTAGGAGCGACTTCCTACCTTTGTTGTTGTCTGCATACTGGATCACTGGTAGGAGGTTGTTTCCATAGTTGCACTCCTCTTCGAAGTACATGTCCGCCAGCTTCGTCCTGAAGCCTTCGTTCTTTGCGGAACTCACGTGTCTGAAGATCGTGTCGAGGAACGCGTGGCCCAGCTGGTTACCGCATTGGCCGATCTGCACGGTCAGCACCGTCATCGTGGGGACGCCTACAGGCCGCGTTGCGCTGTAGCGGTGTTGCGGTGTTACTTCACTGTGGTGTTACACCGATGCGGTGTTACAGTGCTGCTTCGTTGCCGTCTTGACCCTTTTCAGTGTAGACCCCTCGCTCGCGCCGGCAATCGCCTATTCGGAGAAACGCGAACGTCCGACTTGATCAATTGGCGAAATGCCCACTCTTCGAATCGGTCACTTAACGCAGTCAAGGGACGGTCTTCCTCTGGCGTCTCCCCGGCGGAGCTGCCACTGTCTTTTCACCTTCGGAGTGTTGCCCGTCGTCAACAGGGCCATTCGTATAGCCATCTCGATTAATGGTTTTCTTTTTCCCAGCTAGCCAAAATGGACTCCGAATTTTTTTTTTTTTTTTTTTTCCTTCCCCAAGTGCAATTGCACATATGCTGCGTTTTTTTTTTTCTTCTTCTCTTTTATGGTCCCTCCTGAGTGACACTCTACACGCTCCACTGTTTTGTTTTCTCTCCCTTTCTACTTCGACTAATGTAAGAGTAAGACCCTTGTGGAAGTGTTCCCCGGTTGGCCTTTTCAACGATGTTATTGCCCCGAAGGGGAGACCTGCCTCCATTGCTCCACTGGGAACAGGGGCTCTTGAAAATACACTCCATGTGAGGGAAAAAAGAAAAAAAAAAACATTCCATTGTCAGCATCACTGCGCACACTGGCTATCCATGCGGGCTGGAACCAAAGAGATGAGTAACATGGGTGCGATTATCCGTGGAGCACTATCTCTCTGATAAGGGACGGAAAAACGCTAAACCTGAACCATCCAACCCATGGAGGAAACCATTTTTCTTCAAAACTTTGAAAACATCAACGAGGAGAGCCTCCCCTCGCCACTCATCCGCCACTCGGCGGACTGTCGGGGGGTTAACTCTGCGCGAGGGAAGGCACGGGGAAGGGCACAATCGGGACAACGCCACGGAGGTGAAGGCCTAGCGGAGGACCAAATGGACGACCAATTGGCCAGCGGTTTGACCAGCCAATCAGACCCCGCCGCCCCAGAAAGAAGCTATCTCTGCATCAATGCGAACGCCTTCAATGGGAAGTGCTACCGCAAGCAGATCCCCATCATAGACGATATCCACCTCCGCTTCTCCCTGGGCGAGTCCTTGGCCTACCTTCTCAACGCCTACTTGCGGAAGGGGCTCATCCAGAGGGCCCTCTACAACAAAATGGTGCACTCCTTCCAAGTGGTAAGACCTGTGTGGGGTGTGCCACGACCAGCGGGGGGTGCTACCCAGAGCACCTCACGCAACAGGTCAACAGCTTCGCAGCTCAACCCGACAGCTGCTAAGCCGCTAAACCGCTGAACCGCTAACTCGCTCACCCGATTCCCCTCGTGCAGGCCATCATCGCGAAGCTCCGCCAACTGAAGGAGTCCAGAAGCAACAAGTGGACCATCAAGGGAAGACTCATCAACTTCAAAAAAGAAAACAACGTCCAGCTGCTGTACGTGGAGGACGCCGTCCTGTCCTTGGGAAAATTTGTCTTACATGTCCCCCTTCTCAAAATGAAGTCGATCGATTTGTAGTTTTGCCCTGCAGAGTGGGGGGAAGGACGACGAATTCTTCCATTTCATGACCCTCCACCTGTGCACCGGCGGCATGTATTCCTTTCCATTTTTGAAGACGCACACCGTTCAGTCACTCCTGTTGGAGTAAACCTGCTTTGACGTCTGGTGAAGCCACTGTCAAGGGAGCGAACCACACAGTGCTGCCACTCCCCCACTATTTTTATCTTTGCTGGTAACACTTTTTCGTTTTCCTTTTTTTTTTTTTCTCCTTTGCCAATCATTTGTCGAAAAGAATCTCAACATGGAAGACGCGAAAGAAGGGATGACTCCGGGAAGGAGGAATGCCCCTCCTATAACTTTGCCCAAAATGGGAAAATATAAAATATAAAAAAAAAAAAAAAAAAGACCTCAACCGCAGACGTGGATGCAATTCCCACATGTTGACCCATTGACCATCTCATTTGGAAGTTTACCAAAAAAGCGATGCTGCTTCAATGTCCTGCGGAAACTCCCCTCACTGTTACGCTGTCTTTTCACTACATAGACAAGCGAACGGAGGTAACACAAAGAGGTAGGGAGGAGCACAAATAACCACAGCCATGGGACACCTTTCTTCTTCTCGCAATCCTTTTTCCACTTCGAACTCAACCCTATTGAAATGAAGTCAATTCGGAACCATTACACAAACGATGGTAGGTCGACAGGCGGGCATAACTGCGAGGTGCCTTTGTCTGTTTCTCCTCCTTTGGGAACTCGTCTTAGCGGACTTACCCGTATACACTGCATACACTTTGCGTAACCACCATTCGGTCAGGCGGTCATCCGATGATTCGGTCATTCCGCCATTCGATTGTTCGCTCGTTCCGCCAATCCATCCGCTCCCCCGTGTATTTCTTCCAGGGTGCGAGGAAGAGAGAGACAGCCCGTTGCACTCCTCTCTTCTGCAGTGTGATATGACCTCAGGGTATCGCGGCGCGCACGGAGGGGGAAATTCCACCCCCCCAAAAAAGGACGAAACTCCTCTGCAGAGAAGAAACTTCATTAGGTGCGGTTCAGTATCACCGATGGTGTAGAGCTTTTTCCCTACCTCTCTGCGCACGTCCAGCAGGTTACCCCCCCTTCCAATGGCCGCCTTGTTTTTCCTCCTCGTGCTTTGTTTCTATATTATGGCACAGCCTGTTCTTCCCCTCCACCCCGGGTCAGCCTCTCCTCGTCTGGGGCACCACGCCAACTAATGCCGCCCACATGGTGATGTTTTCCTTTTTCTGTTTTTTTTACACGGTTGCTTTTTTTTTTTTTTTTTCCGCGAAGCTCTTTTTTGTGACCATTTTATGGGCCATTTCTTCTTTGTTTACTTTTTTTCTTTTGTTTTTTTTTTTTATTCTTTTCCTGTGCGATGGAGATGCTCCGAGGAAATGAGCCAACTGCGTCAGCCCAACTAGGGAACGAAATTTGGAAGCGCCACCGCTGAGCGAGTTTGCCCATCGTTTTGCCAACCAGTTTGCCAACCCGTTTGCCAACCAGTTTGCCAACCAGTTTGCCGACCAGTTTGTAAAGGAAGTCCATCCGTTGGAACCCCTCCTTCAATGAGTCACATATTCCCCTTTGAATAACCCTCTTTTGGTATCATCTGAGGAACGGAAACTATTTCCCCTTTGCCTCTGGCCATATTAATAAATGCCCCTTTAGAGAAGGCGCCCTTTAAGCTGTTCCCATTTTTGTGTATCCCCGCCGCTTCTCCCCCCTCTGGTGTTCCTTCACCCTATGGTGCCTTCTGCCCCCCCACTCCGCACACAGGGGGAAAGCAGCCTCGCCGCATTTCTCAGTGAAGGGGTGAACGGGTGAAGCTGAAAAGAGAAGCATTGTAGAGGTTGACACAGGAGAGACGTCTCGGAGAGGTGTCAGCAACGTGTCAGCGACGTCTCGACAACCTCTTAGCGTGTCAGGCTGCTCCTTCTCTTCTACGCCATGCTGGGAAGGACACTGCGAAGGTACAGCTCTCTGAAGAGCCTCCCCAAGGAAATACTAAACCAGCCAATCACTCGAGTGAGCCAATTGCCAAACAAGCTGAAGATAGCCACGGTTAGAAGCACGTGCGAAGTTCCAACCATAGGAATCTGGATCAGCAGTGGGAGTAAGTATGAAAATAAGGAGAACAATGGGGTAGCTCACTTCCTGGAACATATGATATTTAAAGGGACGAACAAGAGAAGCCGAATCCAATTGGAGAAAGAAATTGAAAATATGGGAGCACATCTGAATGCATACACAGCTAGGGAACAGACGAGTTACTATTGTCGATGTTTTAAGGATGACATAAAGTGGTGCGTAGAACTGTTAAGTGATATCCTCTCTAACAGTATCTTCGATGAAAATCTAATCGACATGGAAAAGCATGTCATTCTGAGAGAAATGGAAGAAGTGGAGAAGTCCAAAGATGAAGTCATCTTCGACAAGTTACACATGACTGCATTTCGGGATCATCCTCTCGGCTACACAATTTTAGGACCCGTAGAAAACATAAAAAATATGAACCGACAGAGCATTATAAACTACATCAATACGAATTACACTTCCGACAGGATGGTTCTCTGTGCAGTGGGGGATGTCGATCATGAGGAGATTGTAAAATTAGCCGAGCAGCACTTCAGCCATTTAAAGCCGCAATCTCCCAACATCGGTTCTGCATCTGAAATAGATACTGTAAAACCGTACTTTTGTGGGTCCGAAATTATCATGAGAGATGATGATTCAGGACCTAGTGCACATGTCGCTGTGGCATTTGAAGGAGTGGATTGGAAGTCCCCCGATTCTATTACCTTCATGTTAATGCAGTGCATCATTGGGACGTACAAGAAGAGTGAAGAAGGCATCCTACCAGGAAAGCTCTCCGGCAATCGAACCATCAACAATATCTGCAATAAAATGACCGTCGGGTGTGCTGACTACTTTTCTGCATTTAACACCTGCTACAACAATACAGGATTGTTTGGGTTCTACGTCCAATGTGATGAGGTAGCCGTGGAGCACGCCTTGGGAGAACTCATGTTCGGAGTCACTTCCCTGAGTTATAGCATCACCGATGAAGAAGTCGAGATAGCCAAAATACAATTAAAGACACAACTTATTAATATGTTTGAATCGTCATCCACCCTGGCAGAAGAAATCTCCAGACAGATTCTCGTGTACGGACGAAACATCTCCCTAGCGGAGTTTCTACTTAGACTTGACAAAATCGACACGGAGGAAGTCAAACGGGTCGCCTGGAAATATCTGCACGACCGGGACGTAGCCGTTGCCGCCATGGGCGCTCTCCACGGCATGCCGCAGTACTACGACCTCAGACAGAAGACCTTCTGGCTCAGGTACTAGCATGCCAGGGGCGAGGGGGAAGAGAGAGAGTCATATCTACAGAAGTGCCTCCATATGTTGAGGTGGGTCTGTGCCCACTTACCTCACCCCATGGAGGGTTACTCCAACGTACGTGCATCTCTCCTTTCCACCGTGTGTGCCAATCGGGCTGCCGCGTAACCGGGAAGCCGCCCATCCGACCAACCGATCACAATCCATTCATATAACCCCAGCATACGTTCGAACCTACGCTCACGCTTAGCCGTACAGATACCCCATCTGCAACGCAAAGTGTAACTAAGGAGAGCAACCCAGCTCACTACTGAATGGGGATGCTCCTCCCCAGTGTGTTCCTCCTCGATAAACAATTGAAGGTCCATTAGAAACAGGTCATTCCCCTGTTGGCAATCCTTTTGACGTCCTTGTTGGCATCCCTTCTTGCCATCCAACGGGAGAGGGTCACTCTTTCCCACTAAAAGCACCACCCAAATGGGGAACCGCCAAACGGGAAAAAGGTAGTCCGTTTCACTTTGCTGAATCACCCGGTCTGAAGCAAACTTCATCCCCCCCCACGCTTCCTATTGTAACGGCTTAGTCGACTAAACAGACAGTCGCTTCTTTCACATTTAACCCTGTGCCTCGGGGAAAAGAACGCGTAACGGGGAGGTTCCCTTCTTTTCATGCCACGACAGGAGGCTCCTTCCAATGCGCCACGCCACATGTGTGTATCTCCTCCAAAGAGGTGGAAACTCCTCATGGGCGGCTAAAAGGGAAAATAATCATCTCCATAAGCACAGTGTGCGCTGCGCAACTGACACACTCGATGCGGTGAATAACAACCCAAGAGGATGGTCTCCTCAACAGAACGCGCACAAAATGGGAAAAGAAATAAAATAAAAAAAAAAAAAAAAACATCGGGGGAATCTCCAAGCGTGGCGCGCAAGCAAAGGGGTAGACGGGGAAAATAAATTAAAAATTAAAAATTAAAAAAAAAAAAAAAAAAAAAAATCGCAACTGGGTTAGAAGGCTACGCAAAGCTCTTTACACCTTTTTCGTAGTCTCCTTTTTCCATTTTCGCAACCGAGGCGGAGGGGAAACAATCCCTTCCCCGCTGCCAGGCTAGTTTACATGCACAAGCCAGACCACGCAGTGTGTACACGTAGGTACGTGAACATACTTGTGCACTGTTGTGCTGCGCGGGGAGACGCCACGAGGGGGCGAAGCTGGAAATAGCACTCACAGGGGAACAGCAGGAGGGCGGCAGAACAGCCTTGCCAGGGAGGAGAAGAGGGCAGTTTGCGGAGGGGGAACCCCCAATCGGACAAACCAAACCAGGGGGAAAAGAAAAGCGCAAAAGAAAAAAGAAGGGAGAGAACAAAGAAAAGAAAAAAAAAAGAAAAAGATTAAAGGGAAGCCCCAATTTGAGGACAAAACTCAACCCAAGTGATGGTCCAATGGGGAGTGCCGAGTGGGACAAGTGAGCCAACCACACGCCACACGTTGTCCCCCCATTTTTTCCCCATCGGAGTAAGCTAAACCCGGTTCGCAAAAATGAGCCTGAGCCCGAGTGGCGGCGGTGGCAGCGGTGGCAACGCGCCAAGCTACGCCGGTCACGCGGCCCACCCGAGCCTTGCCAGCTACGCCAATCACGCCGGTCACGCCGGTCACGCCACTCACGCCAGTCACGCCTCTAATGTCGCCAATGTCGCTAATGCCGCTAATTCCGGTCACGCCATCCACCCTAACCATGGCAACCCCCTCCACGTGGACGTGAAAGGCGGCCTAGACAGCACCAACACCCACGTGTACAGGGAGACGCTCTCCGGAAGGGTCCACCTCAATGGGGAGGCGGACAGCTACGCGAAATTGGATCTTCCCAGGGGAGGAGACCCTATCCGAGCTGACCCAAGCCGCGCCGATCTGAACCGCGCCGATCTGAACCGTGCCGATCTCAGCCGCGCCCATATGAACCGTACCGATATGAAGCGCCCCCCCTTGGAGCCGCCCAGCAAAAAAAAGGAAGAACCATTCAAAAGCATAACCCACTTCGCCAAGTACCTCTTCTTCATCGCGAAAAAAATTGCCTACGAAGATGTCCACAGGTTCGGAGAAACCACCACTCATCAGAATACAAATGAGGAGTTAAAGAAGGCTCTTGTGAAACATCTTATTTACAAACTGAACAAAATTCTGTCTTCACTCCTAAACTTCAACGTCCTCCAGTACAATGAGAATGTTAACATCAAACAGGAGGTAGAGTATCTCTGTCTAAAACATAGTAATATCACTCTGAATAGAATAAGGTTGATGTTAAGCAAATTAGAAAATAGTGGAACAAACTACAGATACGTTTTGTATATCTTGTTGAAGCTACATAGTTTTGATGATCAGAATGGTGTTCAGGGGTTCTCTCCATCTGTTGGTTCGTCTCCATCGGCTGCTTCCTCTTCTTTTGTTGCTTTCCCTCCAAGTGCAGAAACCTCCGCAGTAGCAAATGCCGCGCGCAATGTGAACCCCTCTCAGGGGGCTGTAGGACCTGGGACACACGGAAATGCCTCTTCTGCGGAGGGAGACAGTCATAGGTATGCCCACAACAGGGGGGCTACAAACGGGGACGTAAATCAGAGAAAGGAGGACCGCTACAAGGAGGACCCTTACAAGGAGGACCCTCACAAGGGACACCCCTACACGGAAGAACAACGATCCAAATTGGTGGACACCGGCTGGGGGAGGCCCCACCTCCAACCCACGCAGGATGGGAAGAGGTACTTCCAGCCCCCCCCAGAGGGACGACCATACAATCAGCGTACGCAGGATGGACGGGAGGTTAGACTGTCCATCCAGGGCCCCTCCCCCCGTAGTGATCCTCGTCTGGACCCCCGTAGTGACCCCCTCTGCGATAAAAACTTCATCAACAAGAGCCTCTACGCAACGATCATTCTGAACAACAAATTCAACAATCTCGACGTGGAGGAGAGCTTACTCATGAAAGATCTCATATATCCCCTACAAGGGATGAGTGGTCAGTATATAAAATATGACAAGACGGATCGCTGCTTCTATGTGTGGAACCGGAAAGTCAGCATCGGCATGCATCACCTGATAAACAACATCAGTAGTCTCGGTTTGCACTTTCGAAGAATAAAGAAAATCGTTGGAGTCTCCGCTTCAGAGGGAGGTGCAACAGGGGAGGATCCTCACAGTGATGAAGACGATTGGGGGGATTTATCCGATGCGGAGAGCAGCAACCACCACCACCCCGGGGAACGCCGTCACTCTAGCCAATCCCGTAGGAGAGGCAGTCTAGTCATCGACGCACTGCATCAGATAGTCCGTGAGTATATTAATGAATACTACAAACTACTCTCCTATCTAGAAAGTGACATAAACGAACACATACACAAAAACACAGTATACATCGGAGTTAAGAAACTCCATCTGCGTCTGCAAGAATCGTACAAGATAATGCGTGTCCTGATGAACGTCGTGGATGAGTCTCGCAGAAGCACTGGCTGCAACTTCCTGTCCTTCGTGTATTCAAAATCTCAAACGTACGATTATGAGGAACAGAAAATATACCGAACGATACTGCAGAGGTGTCTAAAGCCAGTAAATGCTATCCTAAAGCAGTGGGTAGACAACGGGACGCTCAAGGATAAGTATAATGAGACATTCATCTCGACGAATAGGAATGTCCCATCGGAGAAGATGTGGTGTTACAAGTTTTACCTCAACAGCAATAACATTCCTCTCTTTCTGAGTGTCAGCACAGCGAAGCGGATTCTCCTGACTGGGAAGAGTGTGCACCTCCTGAATAGCTTTGGCGGGGAGGGCAGCCACTTCGAACAGGCCGCCGCCGAGCCAAAGCCCTGCCCGCAGTCGGGAAGGAGCAAGTCGGATAGCCAGTCGCTACCCACGCCGCTGCATAAATCCCCTCGGCCAGGCGAGGTGGACGTCTTCTCCGTCACCGACGTGAACCTCTACGTGGAAAACATCGACCGCTACGTGAAGAGACTGTGCGTGCGAAAGAACAAGCGGCTGATCTCGATGCTGGTAAATAAGTACGGGCTGTACGAGCACTTCCGTGCATTCCGGCACTTCCTCCTGCTGGTGGACGGAGATCTCTTCGAGACCATTTTCGATAATATGAAGACGGATCTATATATGGATGCGGAGGAGCTCAAGCGACATTACCTAAATAGCAAGCTAGACCTCTGTATTAAGTCTTCCTCTATATTTACCTCCAACCAGAGTATCATAAACAAGTTGATCCTGGACCGATTCCAGGTCAAGCGAGGAGACATCGGCTGGGACGTCCTCGTCTTTGACTTCATCGTAGACAAACCCCTCGACATCATCTTCACGCAGAGAGTAAAGACCATATACAAGACGATTAACGTTCTATTGATAAAACTGAAGAAGATACATTACGAGCTGGCAAACATCTGGTACTTATTCACGCATTTATTTAAGATAATGAATGTCGTCTGCTACAACCACGTCTTCATTTACTGCAATATCATGCGGAATGAGATGTTTCACTTCATCCAGAATCTACTCTCCTACTTCTACTACGACGTCATCGATATGAACTGGAGAGAGTTCAAAAAGGTCATCTTCAATTGCAATGATTTGGATCGACTGATACATGAGCACTACCAGTACATAAGTCAGATTCAGTTTGACTTGTTCCTTGGAAATTCCGTCGATGGGGGAGGAGCAGCAGAGGCAACCGGAGCAGCCGCAGCAGGAGGAGGAGGGGTAGGTCCTGCTGCCGCTCCATTGTCTGTGTCTTCTCCTTCCCCTTCTTCTTCCTCTTCATCCGTCCCTTCAGAGGTAGACTCCACGTCGGATGGCTACTTGGACAACTCGTTTGGATCCCCACCTCCTGGAGGTGCCGTTGATTTTGTCTATGCCCCTTCTTCCCATTTGGGGGAACCATCTTCCAAGTTGGTTTCATTCCCTCGAGGAGGTCTCCACCCATCCAGCAAAAATGTCGAAGCGACGTATCACACCTCAGATGCAGTTCCACAGACAGGTTCTACGAATAATACAACCCATAACGTAGACAGAGAAACGCACCTCTGTATGTACCGAATCCTGGACATCATAACCCGCTTTATCAATCTGACCAGCGCGTTGATCTCCTCCGTCTGTGAAGGATACTCGGAGATAAAACAACTCACAGAGGCCAAGAAGGACCAGAGAAACACTATAGACAGCGACATCGACTATGTGAACAATTTTATTAACACCAAGATAATTGGAGAGAAAACCATTCGCGATCTTAAGATCCTTCTAAAGTACTATCGAAATTATATCTATAAGTTTATCTGCCTCCTCCTGAGTGACAGCAAGTCGGTCTCCTCGCACTCCCGCATCTCCAAACGGGACAAACTCAATTCCCACCGCCTCCTCGCCGCTCGCCTCGACTTTAACCTCTACTACGTCAACATCTCCAAACTCAGGGACGGCTCCACCCCCAAGCTCAACATCTCCAGTCAGATTAAGATGATCAAACGGGGCCATCCGGCTACTAAGCAGTTAAGCGGGTAAGTAGCGGACCAGTTACTATGTCTCGAAGAAAACATATTAAGAGGTACACACGTGGAGGGTATCCATCCGGGGCTACCGCAACACTCGCCGCTAATCGTGACGAGGGGAGCACTCCCCAACGTTCGACCCCCCCGGGCGGAGCAGCGAAAGCAGCTTGGCCTCCTCCCTCACGTCCAGGGGGTAGCCCTCCGCATTCTTCCGCACCCGGGGAAGGGCCCCAGGGGAAGCACCACCCATGGAGGCAGTCCCAACAGGGGCAACCCCACCCACTCCGCCGCGCCCCCCTACATCCCCTTGACCAAACGCGGAAACATTCACATTGTTGTAGTCGTAGTGGTACAGCACGTCGACATCCCCCTTCGCGGGTTCACTGGTCTGGGAACACGTGTACCTCGGCATGCACAGCGGAGAAAGCATGTTGTGTTGAAAAAAAAAGGAGAGTAAACTCTTCCCCTTAAAATACATTTTGATAAAATTCCCATGCGTTCGAATCAGTCCAATTTCGTGGAGAGACAAAATGATTTGTTTTTTCATCCCCCGTCTCGCAATCACTGTAAACGGGTACAATAACAAGTGTCTGTTCTTGACATCCAGGACTGCCCTCAATATAACTGAGTTGTATGAGTAGAGCTGGAAGATATAAAATGCCGGCAGTCCACAGGAAAGCACATAGCCATACAGACTTCTAATCACATCGAACTCAATTAAGCAGATACACATCGATGACAGAAACACTCCTCCGATGAGGTATCGGTGAATCTTCTTCTTCATTTTCTTCTCTTCACATTTTTCCACATCGAGGAGAACCATTTTGGAACTGTCCCTCCCTTCGCCATATTTTTTAATGCTTAATAAGCTGCCATATTCCTTCCTGCGATTGGTAAACAACACGTGGATGTGTCTGCTGCCGCTCCTTCTAAGGGGGGTCAGCTCACCAAAAGTCCATGTTGCATTGCTCATCCGCAGTGGAGCGAACCATCCCTTCGTTCCTGTCCGCTGTGTTAGGCGATTCATTTCCCTTTCGCAGGTCAGTACATGGTTTGGGGGAAGAAGAGAGTAGAGTTGTTCCTATCTTCAATCAGCTGCGCGGTGACACTTGAGTGCCCCTTTCGACGCGCTGATAATCCATTTAGGTTCCCTCTTTCCTGCACTAATGATCCTTTTTTTCTTCTTCTTCTTCTTTCGCATTTCCCCTGCTGGGGAGTAAGCAGCATACGGGCCAAATGGCTCCGCTGCTTCATCGCTACGACACTCCGCCGCTACGCTGCTACGGCGCACCTCTCTACTGGCTGAACCTCCGCGCGAGGACAAACGTGCAGAGGACCACTAGAGCGGACGTGAGCACCGACACGTACAGTACGTGCAGATAACTGTCGGCCCCGCGCGGCACTGAGTGAACGTATACCACGTCGACGTAGTAATCCGTCCCCCCAGTGAGGATGTCCCTGAGGGGGGGCCATCTCAACATCTCTACATCATTGGCGGCGGCCACGTGCTGCCAGGAGGGGCCCCCCGCGAGTACCTCATTGTAAATGATTCTTCTGTTTATAATATTCTCCGAGTTTATTGTCCTCGCGAGGGAGTAGCCAGATAGGCAGTGTGCGGATTCGGAGTACGTGGGGAGTGACTCGGGGGGGTCCTCTCTTCTGCCTCCTTCTCCACTTTGTCCGTCTCCGCCCCGTTGTACATTGCCCCGTTGTGCATTGCCCCATTGTGGATTGCCCCGTCGCTTATTCCTCCCCTGCGTATCATCCACCCAGCGGGGGGATAACACCTGCACGAAGGACACCTCACTCAGGAAAAGAAAGAAATCCCTCGTGTGGACGCTTAGCATGTCCTCCCCCCCGTTAATATAAACATGTGTGACATCTGCGTACAGAGTGGCATTCCGTGCATGGTGATGTGTAGTGGGACTCTCCTTCTTCGCATCTCCTCCACACTTTAGGAACACCTTCGCGTTGGATAACACCACGGCGTCGTAATCTGTGCAGAGGTTATCCTGATATGTGGGGGCAGCCTCTTCTCCCCCCGACATATGAACTTCCCCTTTTGCGGTGCCTCTCTTGAATTGTTTTCCTCCTTCACAGGGGGCGACATACCTGCTGCCAATCAGTAGATCGAAGGAGAAGGCGGAGCACGGTTGGTGGGACGATCCCCTCGTGGTATCTTCCCCTGCTGTATCTTGCCCTGTTGTATCTTCCCCCGCGACGGTGAGAGGTACCACACCTGGGAGATCTCCGATAGAATCCTTCCTCTCGTATTCGCCCCCACCCTGTGTCAACCCGCCAGATGAGGGTCTTCCGTCTGATAGCCACACTCGATACTTCGTCACAGTGTGGGGGGACCCCCCCTTGTAACTCTCTATGTCTGCAAAGGATGCAGTCAGGTGGGGGCTTGACAGTCTCTCCTTGTCTAGGACAACGCCGTTCGGGTGCAGGTCCAGCACGATGGCGCTGCAGTCACGCAGGGGGGGGGCCCGGCAAGTAGCCTCACCACAGGCAGCCCCATCGCAGGCCACCCGCACGGTTACTCTGCATCCCCGCTTCATGCCCTCCCCCTTGAACTTCTTCTCCACGGTGACGTTATCGACGGTCCTCTGGCGTGCCAGATGATTGGAGTCCTCCCAATATATGACATAATCACTCGGGAAGTAGAGGTGGTCCCGAAAGAGGGTAGGCATATAGACAACCCTGTCTTCCACCCCGATGGTGTAACTTCGTCTCGCTCCTCCGTATGAGGTGTCGCTACTCACTAGCCGGTTGGCCCTCCCCATTTGAGAAAACAAGTATGACAGGAGAAACACTCCCCTTTTCAGTCCCTCCACCAAAGTAACATTCTCGTAACGCACTTCCTCCTTCAGTCTCCTCGAATGAGCATACATCTGCTTACTCAAGAAGGAGTTTGTAAAAAAGGTTCCATTTGTAACATCCTCACAGTGGAACTTATCCATAAGGAATGACAAATGATCCACACAGTGATTGTTCCTTGCATGCATATCGAAGGAGAGGGTAAGGACTTCTTTGGTGAGTCCCCTTCCCTTTTTCAACTGATCTTTGTTCTTAGGACTCTGCCCTGAGGACATCCCCTTCTTCGCTATATGCATCTCAGTCATACTTTTAACACGCAGATTACGTACCACCCTTTGATGAAGAAGGAAGGACAATAAAACAGCCACTCCCTTGTCTTTCTTTCTGAGCCTTTCATGGTACAGCTCTCTCAGGTGCTCCTCAAAATGGGTCTCTAATAAGTCCACTCCAGATATATGCATAAATCCCCAAATATCTTTTTCGTCCCGTGATGGATCTTCCTCCCTGCTTCCATCATCGCCGCTTCCGATTCTGCACTCAGTCGCTTCCCCTTCGTGGGAGGGTCCCTCCAGTCTGCTTTCATCATCCCAGTCAAGTAAGACATAATTGTGCGACAGGCAGCGCTTGTCTAGCTTCAGCGGTCCCGCTCCCTTAGGGGAGTCACGGGGGGGGAAGTAGCACCCCCGATAAATATCCTCAAGGGAGTCGCTTCTGATGTATAGTGGATTGGTGTTCTTCATTAACTGGGAGATGTGTCTCTCCTTGGTGGTAGTTTTCGCAGGGTGCGTTGCTGTTCTTGCTCCCCTGGGGGGACACTCTCCGTGGTGACCCTTCCCGTGGTGACCCTCCCCGTGGCGATACACCTTGTGTAGGAAGTCGCTCATCACCTTCGCCTTGCGCTGCCCATAATCTCCTTTCCTCCCTTTAATAAGTGCAGTGACCCCATTGAAGTGGTCACTCGCTTCGTACACTCCTCCACTGCTTTTCTTGTAAATGACGTAGTATGGGGGGTGCTCCGTCACCACATCGTATTCTCTGTGAGTGAAGATCCCCTCGCAGCGGAGCTTCCTCATCTTCACGTATGTCTTTTGTGTGGGGGAAGAGGGAGCACAGCGAATCCGCAACGAATCCGTCTGCAAACTGTTGCGCCGTGAGGACTTGTGTCCACATGAACGCTTCGAAAGGGTCGTGTTGGTACCCCCCGTTTGGTAGCCCACTTTGCCACTCCGTTTGGCATCCACCCTGTCCTCTACTTTTTTCGTTGCTCTTCCTTCTACTTCTACTTTTGCACATCGCTCCCCCCAAAGCCTCCTAACATTTTAGATTGTTACCGTTTCTGTCCTTCAGAGCCACTTGGAAGATGCGCGTCCAGCTAGGCACTGCTCTTTTCCCCCTCTTGACGGTAAGGCCACGCAAAATTCGTCTTCCACAAACGTGTGGTAAGCCTAAGCCCATGCGCGGGAGACTAGGCGATGTTGTATAGATATGCATTCGCACGGGCATACTCATGTGCATTTGGAAGTGGGAACATCCCTGCGATGCTGTGTCGACCCCTTCGTATATTTCATCGGACATGGGTACCTTCTCCGCTGGTTTTCGCTTGTTCTCTCCATGTTTCTCTTTTTTTTTTTTTTTTTTTTTCTTTTTCTCGCCCCTTTTGGAACAGTGGCTTTGCTAACCCCCCGCAGGAGAGCAGCCTTCGTCGCGCCGTGGTACCCCTCCTATGAAGAGGATAAACATAGAAAAAATGTAAACGTATGTACGCACCTATGTATGTATTTTTTTTTTCCTTCTTTTTGCCGACACGGCAGAGCTTTCCTCCTTTTCACCCCCAAATAGAATCATCACCCCCTTCCCTTTATCCATCCGTTTCATCAAGGAGAGAAAAAACAAAACCGTCTCATCACCACGTTGACACCATCGTCACCAGGAGAAATGGGTTAAAAGCTCCTCTTTGTCTTATCAAAGGGGGGCACCGCGTCCTACCTATCGGGTAGTAGAATAGCGCCGAACCCACTTGCACCTTCACCTCGAGAGGGATCTTCTTCGCCTCAGCTACCCCCCCGCACACATCCTCTCATTTGCATCACAGATGACACGTCCCTCCCGGACACGGACCCCCACGGGAGCATCCAATACGAGCAGTTCGAGAAACTGAAGCAGACGAAGGTGTTGCTGAGTGAGAAGCTCATTAGGTACCTCTTCCGGAGTAGTGCACTGAATTGTGTTCCCCCTTCGGTGTGGCACCTCTGCAGGGGAGTCCCACTTCAAGGCACTCCTTCCTTGCGAGTTATTCCTCCTCACCGTGTCACACTACCGTCTCGTTTGTCTTCTTTTCCCTACCTCCCCCCCCTGCAGGCACGACTGGTCGCAGACAGCCGATCGCGTTTTCTTAACGCTATACAAGAAGGGCCTCCGTGAAAGCGACTGCCTCCACTATGTTGAAGACGGCCGTCTCTCAATTATTATTAAAATGGACGGTACGTCGTTGCGTGTGTGAGCAGTGTTTGGGGGCTCAGCCGGTGGTGGGGCGGCACGCTCCTTAGGCGCATTGCCACGAGTCACGTCGTTCCATCGCTGCTTCCCTCCCATTACTTCCTCCTTCCACCCCACCGCGCACAGCGGACGAGATGTACCTCCTCGAAAAACGACTCTTCTCAAAAATAATCCCCAGCCGGACCAGCGTCTCTGTAACTCCAGTAAGTCGACATGTCCGCCTCTCGCCGCAGCGAAGAACGTCCTCATGACATCCACTCAATGTGTGCCTCACACACCGACACGCCACATTTCTCCCTCCCTAAGATGAAAGTCGAAGTGACACTCCAGAAGCTCCAACCAGGTAAGCAAGAACATTCGAGGAGGTAACCCCGCGTAGTGAACACCCTCAAAAAGTGAGTCCTTCCTACCAATGTGGTATTTCCCTTTTTTTTTTTTTCCTTTTTCCACCCCCTGAAGACGTTGAATGGCCTCAACTGGAAAAACTCGAGGAGAACGAAAAGGAAAAAGCGAACGGAGTAGCAAAAAGAAAGGAAGACCTTCTGAACCCTTTCAGTGGAAAGAGCACCCACGAATGGGACAAGATAACAAAGGTTGGCAGCAAAAGGAAAAAAAAAAAAAAAAAAGTGGACAGTCCGCCTGAACTAAATAGAACGAAGCGGATACATCGCGTCTGTGAAGTTCTTCGCGTAGGGTGGAGTATGGGGGGAGGTTGACCCTGTGGAATGCCTCCCCCTCGTCCAGTGACGCTCCGGATTAGCGAAACGGGCATATCAAGTGACACTCGTTTGAGGGTGCCTTCTCTCCTTTGCTTCTCCGCCTCTGTTGCCTCTTCCTTTACCACTTCCTTCCTCACCTCTCATTTCCTCCCCCCACAAAGTCCATAAAGGAAGACGAGGAGGAGGGAAGCATCGATACCTTCTTCAGGAAAATATATAACGAAGGCGACGACGATACGAAGAGAGCCATGATCAAGTCATTCGTACGTGTCTTTCGTTTCTGCGCCACTGCTGACTTACACTCTGTCCGATAATTCTGCCACTTTATTTTTATTCTTATTTCTATTTCTGTTTTTACTTTTTCTTTTTTTTTCTTTCTTCTCTTCTCTGCTCAGCAAACCTCCCGGGGGACGGTCCTCTCCACAAATTGGAAAGACGTCCAGCACAAGAACTACGAAAAGGTTAACAGGGGAAGCGGTGATGAGGGGAACCACTGATGAGGCGTGCACACCCCCTCTCCAAATTTGCGCCCTCTGCTCTTCCATGCTCATTCCATCGTATTGCCCCCCACGCAGGACAAACCCCTACCGGACGAGAAGGAAACACATTGAAGAAGGCGCGTTCGCTTTAACGCCGTTTTGTGAAAAATGCAGGCCGAAGGCAATCAATGGAAAGGGCGCAGTGAGAAGGCTTTTTCATCTGCCCCCGGTTTTACCTGACTATGTTAGGGCAATAATGCGATGGCTTCGCTTAGGTATACTTCTCCACCTGGGTGCACTTCCTCCCCTCGCTGTCCCGTTTGACTTACCCCTTTTGATGTAACATACCCCCCGCCGAATCGCTAAAATGGGCCGCTCGCCTGGCGATGGATTCTAAAGAAACCTCCATCGATACCTCCAACCGAGACGTCACCACCACCCCCAGTGAGGTCCCTCGAAAGGCGCTTCAAATATCTGGGTATCTCCTCAATCTCGTCCTGATCTCTCAAAAGTACAGACACATCATATCCGATGGTCACACAAATGTAAAGAATCAACATCACGCAGATCATCCCAAGGAGAAGGAGCAAAAAAAAAATCACAATACTTAACACCCCTTCCATCATGCCAAAAAATACAGAAGGAGATATAATCACTAGCTCCTTATCCAATCCTTCTGAGTCTCGCTCCTTTTGTTTGTCTTTCCTAACCGTCGCCATTTCTTTGATGAGGACCCTTCTACTATGTGTGTGTCCCTCTCCTTCTTCAGCTGACTTTTCCTTCTTATCAATCGTGTCGTGCCCTTCTTCGTAGTTGTCTTCTCGACATAGATCTTCCATCGAGGAATATCTCTCCTCATCATTCAGGGAGGTACTGTCTATGTGAACCAACTTTTTTCCCTTCCCGTGATCGTTATACGTCTCTTTTGCGACCTCTCCCTGTAGCGTCTCTGTTCCTTCCTTCCTCCCGCTGTCATGGCCGAGAAAGAAGAACGCCAATTTGGACATGTCATCCTCATGTGAAGGGGCAGAGTGGGAATAGGCATGATGCTTCCCGGTATCGTGGTGGTGCCGGTCTGTCTCACGCCACTGCTCCTCCTTCTCATGCCGCTTCTGCTGCTGCTGATCGGAGGACCCCCCCCGACCCCTGCAGAAAAAGGCCTTATAGATCCTCTCCAGCATATCCACTTTCTCCGTTTCTCCGTCCTGGGGTTGGAAGCGGCTAAAAATGTCCACCTTAAGGGGGAGTTCAAGCTTGTCTGCAATGAACCCAAAGTGGTCGTATCGACGTACCGTTGGGCTCGATTTGGACATCTCAACGATGTGTTTGTTTGCATCCGCTTCTCCCGCCCCCTCGATGTTCACCATCTGCATGATCGATGCGGCAATGCTGTGGACACGGGACCCTCTCTCGTGCTCGTAAAATTGAGGGCACAGCCAGTAGAAGGGGCTCCTCCTGCGATAAGGCGGGAAAGCGGCAAAGCGGTGACGAGGGCGAAGCGACGTGGACACGCCCTCACGTGGACGCGCCCCAACTGGCAACCACCCATTCGTACTATTTTTACCCAAACGTCTTTATGTCTTCCGGGTGACAGATGTGCCGCTTCTTCTCCTTGATTGGTTGTTCATTCACGGGGATCTCTACCAGGGGGGAGAAGCGGAATGGGGAGTGGAGCAGCGCGGCATGGCATCGCTTTGGAGGTAAATGTGTCGTGGCACCCCCTGGGCAGTACATCTATCACTGTCTTACTTTGCCCTGTCTCGCTGCGCAGTGTGAAGTAGTCCAAATTCAGGACGTAGTCCTTCAGGAGGGGATGCAGAAACTTCACTTTGTCTGCGATGGGGGGAGAGGAAGCAGAGGAGGCAGTCGAAACGGTTTAGGCGGTTCAGGCGGTTCAGGCGGTTAACTCCCTTTAGGCAGTCCACTCGGTTTACTCGCTCTACTCGGTTTGCTCCCTTCACTCGCTTAACGCCACGGAACTCACTCACCGTCCAGGACGACCTTCTCCCGCGCCGCCCCCTTCTCAAGCGTGTCCATGTTCTTTATCGGCCCGCTGTACCGTTTGTACAGGTGAACGCGCTGGTTTGATATGACACCGTCCTTCACATGAATGCAATGCTCCCTCCCAATCGTCTTCTCACACTTATTGACCTCCTCGAAGTGGAAGATGTCCTCAAGCGTTTCTTCTTTCCCCTCGAGGCGGAAAACAATTTGGCATTCCTTGCACTTCACTTTCTCTGTCTCTAGAAGGGAATACTTTTTTCTCCTATCCAAGCTCATCCGGTCAGTTTGTCCGAGGGGGCCATTACTCTTCCCTTCCGATTTATTGGACCCCTTCCTCTGCACTTGCTTCATCGCATGGTACACCTCCAGTATGCGTTCCTTACTCAATTCATGCATCTTCACATTCACAAAGAAGCTGTGAATCTCTTTGTGTAGAATGACCGGACAGTCTCCATATCGAAGCACACACTCGACGTGGTTGTGATTATTGTATAGAAGCAGACATGCAATGCATGATAGTACCACCAACAGGACAAGACAGCCATAAAAAACCATTCGGATGTTCTTTACGACCTTCTGCTTAATAATCCTCTGCTTCACATGAGACAGCTTCACCTCTTTGTCGCTCGTGTAGGTAACATATAATCTCTCATTTGACTGACCGTAACTATCTACTGTCTTGAGTTCTTTGTACCATTTGGCCCATTTGTAGAGACGTAGTAACCCTCCATCTGGATCGTCTCTTCTCTTGTACATACATTTTGAGTACCTCTTCGCGACGAAGTACTTTATGAGGATGTTGTTAATGAGGTGCCGCTCGTTCATTTGGAAAGATCGCTATATGTGTGGGGCACCTGGAGATAGTAGTCCTTTCCCTCCCCCATACTCCTGTCTTCTTCGCATGGGATCAGGTGGGACTTCTCCTTGCCTTCGCTTCCTCTTCTTTTGTCTGGAAGTTACGCCAGTGGAAGGAGTTTTCAGAACGCACTACTATACCCCATGGGGGGCTTCCCTTCCTATTTGTGACCTCTCCCACATCGACATGTCTGTCGGCAATATATTTTTTTTTTTTTCCCACAAAATTGGGTTGACAGCTTCCCCCAAAATGACCGCAGCCAGCAGCTGCTTCCAAAATCACCGGAGTGACCCCTTCTCCCCAGAGGCACACCTGCACTGTGCACTCTGCACTTCACCCTTGTGGCACACCTGTGCTGACCGTCTATACACCTTCCCCGCGCTACCGGAACGAAGGCGGGCCCCTGCGAACGAGTCGGGAATGGCCTTCCTTAAGTTCGCACCGTTTGTGTGCGTCAAATTGGCCCTCGCGGGGGTCCCAGTTTTGGGGGGAAACTCACAAGGTTACAAAAAAAAAAGGAAAAAAGGGGAAAAGAAAAGATGGAAAAAGAAGAAAAGACGTAGAAGCGATCAACGTGATGGACATGATGGACGAGGTAAAAAAAAAATTGAAGCCATCACAAAGTGGGGAAACGCATGCCGGGGAGGGCCCCTGGCGAATTGGGCAAGGGCATACACTCACACGGTGACGCAGTAAGGCGGTGCAACGGCCATTTTCGCCGGCACGCCATCTCTTATAACCGCTTCTAAGCGATCGCTCCCTATTTCACTGCAGCCCGTACCCCTTCAGCTGCAGCGCCTTCTGGATGGACAAGACCTGCACACGCTGCTCATTGCTCCAACTTGTCATGTCCTCCACGCGTGACTTTAAAATGTTGTTAAGGATGTCTTTGTTCTTCACCACCTCGTTTACCAGTTCGTCGTCCGCCACCTCCACGTTTGCGTAGGTGGGGTGTGAAAGCACACCCTCGTTGGGAGGGCCCTGCGTCGACGCCACTGCGGCGACATCCCCTCTTGCGAGTGCCCCCTCCGCACCTCTGCCCATGTAGCTACCACTACTACTACCATAGAGACCTTGCCGCCTTCGGTTTCTTCTTTTCTCTGGAAAAACGTGCCCGCTACTATTTCCGCTATCCCTATCCCTGTCACTGAAACTGAAGCTGTTCTCCACCGCAGGGACGTTTTCCGGGGGGGATCCGCGAAAGGGGGCATAGTCATCGCCGCTGAAGCCCCCGCCGAGACCGCTACCCAGGGCACTTCCAGTACCACTACCAGCGCCACTACCGCTTTCGCTCCCTACCCCCACAACGTGCTTCACATTGGCGTTGTTCCTCCTCTTTCCCACCTGCTCATTTCCGCTCCTTCCATCCGCCTCGACATAATTCACAGAGTATGCCTCCCCTGAGCCATTCATCTCATTCACGTTTCTTCCATACAGGGGATGGTCTTCCAGGCCTGCTACCCGTTTTGTGTTACTCACCATGTCCTGAAGGTCACTGCGCATGTCTAAGTCACTCCTCTCCGTGGGGGCCTTATCAAAGGGGTGCACGATCCTCTCCCCCTTACATTGCTTCAATCCGGATGATATGCTCCCCTCATCATTACCTACATCGCTGCCCCCCCCACGGGGAACATGGTACCTCCGATCGGTATGGCCTACAGAGGTGTTTACTTCCCCTCCTCCAATACGAATCGTAGCATTTATCCCCATGGAGCTTTCGACAGTGGCATAATCAGATAAGTAATTCAACTTAAAATCAGATGCACCCTTACTATTCAGTTGGTTCACCCCTCCATCGATTCCAACGTCCATCTCGTTGTACCTGCCATCTTGAAGCTGCTCAATGTTGCTTTGATATGTTAAGGAAGAACCACTTACGATGGCACTCCTGTAAAACTCCTTCTTCATCCTCCTCCTCTGCTTTGAATTAGTGCTAGTGTGACTGTTCCCCTCTGGGTAAAGGGGGTTAACCCTACTACTATACTGATCTGGACACCCTTCGTATTTGACATCCCTCCCTGTACACTCCTCTGTTTCTTCTCCATTCGATATGCCTCCTTTTGCGTTACCCAAATTGGAGACCTCCTTCTTCGTTATGGCATACAACCCTGTGGTAGTGGTACCTCCGCGTTTTGTCTTTCCCACCCCTGTGGATCCTCCCACAGAAGGTGGACTAGTTAAGTTAAGTACATGGGATTGAGGACCACCATAGGTACTTCCCCCCAAGGGATTATCTTCACTGAGATCATAAGTGACATTCTCTCCAAGGAGTCTTCCTCCCCTTCTGTCACTTCTCCCATGCGAGATGCTCCGCGGATTATCACGCTGGTAAGGGTTGTACTGCTGCTCCTCCTCGTCTGTACGTTTGGTCGCTCCCCCCTCAACATCAGCTACCTGTGAGAGGCCTTTCTTTAATTTCCCGCTTCGTCTCATTTGTGTCATTCGCTCCGCCTTATTCATCAGCGCCTCGTCACTGATCACTATCTGCAAGTCGCTCTTTGCGATGGTATACTCGCTAATCACATTCATGAGGAACAGACAATGTAGCAGTGCGTACGCCACGTTCCTGTGCCGTTGGAAATAAAACTGCATCATCCCTGTGTTCTCCGTGGTGTATTTCTTAAAGAAACTCAAGATGCACATAATCTGAGATGTTGTCAACGTATGGATTATATTCGATATTAAGACCTTTTTCATGTTGCTTTGGTTTGGGGTGTTTATCTCTATATCTGTATGCTTAAGCGGATAAGATTCCTCCTCTACGTTCCTTTCTGTGTTTGTTGTGTAGGTTAGCTGTCCTTTCCCCTTCCTGCTGTAGAGACCGTTTGACCCCATGGATGCATCCAATTTAGTGCTTCCCTTGAGCGGGGGTGGCAACCCCGCTCCTATGCGAATTGCTCCGTATTCGTTTCCCCTGCCCCTGGACAGCAGGCCGCCACCGGAGAAGGCACCAAACCGGGAAAATGCATCACTGGCAAACTCGGAGAATGCGCCGCTTGCCAGGTTCTCCCTAAATTCATCGTTGGCCCAGTACAGGCGCAGTTTCCGCCCCTTCAACTCATACCCATTGAGATACTTGAGCGCCAGCATGCAGGTCTCTAAATCTTTGTACTCGCAGAAGGCGAAGCCCTTACTGAGGTTTTTATCGACGTCGTATTTGATGCGCACGCTTACTACTTGTCCCACCTTGGACAGAATTTCCTCTAGCTCCCTCTCGGTGGCGTCGAACGGGATGTTCCCGATCCAGAGGCTGTAGTTGCTTTTGCTCGCCATGGGAAGCGGCGGTTGAGTAGCAGAGACGTTGCAAAGTAGTAGGGGAGACGTAGCGGAGACGTAGCATCAGGTGATATACACCCCCCCCTCCATCAGGGCACCCCGTAAGCTCTCAATCACATCTGCGAAGCCACGCAGCGGTTCCACCCCTAGCCCTGGCAGTTGCAGAAAAACCCACCCCCCCACTTCTCCGCACGCGGGAAAGATAAGAACAGCTGCCCACGCCCGTGTATATATTTACCAAAGGGGAGTAAAACGCGGCACACAAGCGTGGGGATCCATCCGCCCATAGGTTCAAACGCGCCAACGTGCACTTGTGTGCCCCTCATCTTGTGGGCGCCTCGTCAACATTGTCACCTGAAGAGAAGCTGCGTTCCTTCGCCAGAAATGAGGCAGAGTGGCGCAACCTCTTTCCAATCAGCAGTTCTTCTCTGAATGGGGAAGTTAAGAAAAAAATAAAAAAAAAAGATAAATACATCAAATAAATAAAATATGCACTTGTTGAGTCATACCTCCCGTTCTCTCTGCCATCATTTTTTCGCTTCTCACCGCTGGGGGGAAAACGCCCCCTTTAGGGGTTTCTGTTGCGCCAAGAAAAAATGAACCATCTCCCCCCCCCTGTGGTGTGAACTTTCCAGGCGGAGTGACCCTCACCACGGAAAGAATGCGCCTTTTCACATCTTCTCCTTCTGCGAGTACGTATAAAAGAAAAGAAAAAAAAAGCGCATTTATGTGCATCAGATAATTTTCCTCCCAACAGTTGCATTACTTTCTCAGCACATGTGTCCATTGTCCATCCGCCTCTCCCGCAAGGACGCAGTTGGTAAGAA